GTACATTTAACCACATGATGACAGTACTCTGTACATTGTGCAATTCACTGCTATGTTTAAGTTGATTTGCTATGAAGAATCAATATCTTTGCACAGTTAAGTTCTTTGCATATTATTATGCCACTGCAATTTTCACGTATTGGAAAAACCATCAGGACTTTCAATGCATCTACATATGCCATTATAGCCACTTAAGCACATATACGGTCAAATACCGTACCCCTATTTTGTTTTGTCTGTTCCAAGGACACAAATGTCCTCGCCCCATCAGCCTGACACGAATCGATGTGCTGCCCGCTTCTCTTCTCCCGCAGCTTCCCGCAGTTCGCACCCAGAAGCATGACCTGTTCCGCACTCCTCCACGATGACAACGTCGCCAATGTCATCATAGGATGCCTCGGTTTTGTGGGCTGAAAGCCTCAAACGCTGGCCACAACTACGGCTGGCTTTACGACACCTTCCAGTCTAGCCTCCTGACACTCCAGCTCGCGGTGGTACGCTTCGTCGTGGTCCCCACGGGCTTGTACATGTCCCACGCCGTCTCCCTGAAGCTGCTTATCGAGTTCGAGCCTTCGAGGTTGTTATCCTCACCCCCTACACGCAAGCCGTGGTGTAGCAGGGCCTGGGGAGCCCAAGACCACGATGCTGCCCCGGTGTGTACCACGACGCTCTCAAGGCGGTGGAGGTGGCGCCTGCAGCCAAGCTGACCAAGGCCGCTGCCAATCCTGAGCCTGACGTTGCTAAGCTTGCCCCCACGCCGGAGCCGCACGGCGCCATGCGTCGCGCCAACATCATTGGCTCATTGCTGGAGCCGCTGTCGTGGGAGCTATTCCAGCCGGCGTTGGGGTTGTCGGGCATTGCCTACTGGATCCTACCGACTCCGACGAGGTGAGGATGCAGGCTGCCTCGGCAGCACAGTGCCTCTACCTGAGGGACATGGAGACCATGGAGGTGCGTGCTGTGCTGCCTGTAGGAGCCTCTTCGTGCTGCCCTAGATGGTCGAGGAGCCCAACCCGAAGTCGTCCTTCTCCGGTACTGTCGAGGTGAACATCCTCTGAGCGAAGAACTAAACGATCATCACATCACGAGATTGGCGGAAGTACTAGAAAGGAGGTCGGGAGGGCGGCGGCACCCGAAGAGACGCAATGGGGTGCCGGCGGCAGAAGAACAGAGAGAGTGGGAAGTTATTTAGTTTTTCTTCTTCTTTTGAGCTGATGGGGTGTGGGCATTTGTGTCCATGAGAAAATATGGAACAAATACAGCCTCTATTATTTGATAAAACTTGGCCTTAAGTGGCTATAGTAGCATCTATAGATGTACTCCCTCTGTTTCTATTTTGTCTGCGTATAAGTTTTCTCAGTTTTTTGCGCAATAGTCTGCGTGTTCCCTTCTTTTAGCCCTCTCTTCCCATGCTGCCCCTCTATTCCGCTTTTCCCCGTCTAATCCGCTGCATGCATGAGCCAATCCGTTGCATGTTTAGAGAGAAACTAGTGGGCAATCCAGCGGCATGCAAAGCGGGCCAGGGGCGCATGCAGAGAAGGGCCAATCCATTCGCTAGTGAATTTATTGCATGTCAGTTTCCTTGCCATCAAAGCAGGGGCAAAACAGTCTAAAAAAAGCCCAGCTATTGCCTCCTTGGTATGCGGGCTGGTTCTTATGCACAGAGAAAAAAGAATCGGAGCCTCGGAGGGAGTATTTGGAAGGTCCGGTGGCATTTTTCAAAAGATGGAAATTTAGTGACATTTTTTGAATACGTGAAAATTGCAATGGCATCTATCCAGTTAACCTTTTTTTATTGATACTGAACTGATGTAATGCTTCAAGTTGAGGAAACCATCCAAATATTGCTTATTAGCCATTTTTCACTTTATGTGAGTACCGCCTCTGAGCATTCTTAACATTATTCCAAAATGTTTGGTCGTAGGCTTGATGATCTCATATTGGAAGCTATAAAGAAGCTTAAGGAGTCTTCCGGATCAAATAAAACGGCCATCGCTTCATACATTGAGGTAATTGTAATGATCGCCACTCCCTAATATCTTCTTTTATTTCCTTGATCGATACTATTTGCTTGAGTTTTGAGGTACCTCAAATTTATCCCGACAGTCAATATTTCCTTTCTTTTGTTATTTGCTTTTACCGAAATGTTTATCTTGTTCTTCATGGGAATCCGAGACTTCTCTGAAGCAATCTTTAGTGATTTTGCAGATGACTCTAATAAGACTTGTCTCTGTATGTAGGAGCAATACTGGCCACCTGCTGATTTTCAACGCTTACTATCAACAAAATTGAAGGCACTGGTTGCTACTGGAAAATTGATGAAGGTACTTTGACTTTGCATGCACTCGTGCGGGAATATGTGGTCTATCATGTATCGAACTACAATAGAAATGCACATTTTAGTTGCTTCTATTTTAATCACGGTTTTATTACAGTCCAACCAAAAATACAGAATTGCACCGAGTTCAGTCTCGTTAGGTGGAAGGAGCACCAAGGTGCACTCAACAGAAGACGACAAACAAAATATTTGTATTAGACAACTAACTAAGCCTCAAGTGGATGCTGAACTGGATATGATGACACACATGAATAAGGAAGAGGCAGCAGCATTTGCTGCCAAGGCAGTTGCTGAGGCAGAAGTTGCCAATGCGGAGGCTGAAGAAGCAGCAAGGGCTGCAGAAGCTGCAGAAGCTGAGGCTGAAGCTGCAAAGGCTTTTCTCGATGCCGTCATGTTGACTGTGCAAAACAAAAATGCTGCCTCTGCGGTACATTGAGCATATTTTTTGTTTTCAGAATATTCTCTACCAAATGCACATTCTATAACTTACTAAACTCATTAAATGCAGATTCTTCGAGCTTGCTGATCTTCTCTACTAGCCGTGCCGTGCATTTGGCTTCAGTGAGCAGAAGTTTGTATGAGACAATGCTTGTGTTGTGCCGCAAAGCTTTTGTCGATACATGAGTTTCTTGTATAGCCTTATAGATCAAAATGTTTCAATGAAGGGCAGGGGTTTTCAACATCTTGCTGTTGGTCCTAAACCCTGGCTCACCCTTCAGATGATGTTATCTAGTAGCATCTTCTTAGATAAATATATCATGCAATTGGCGCTGTGTTGTGTTAGCCAGTCAATGACGCAATAACAGGAGCGAACAGGAAAGTAGTATTCAATTTTCATCCTTTTTTCTTCTGAACATGTGTTTATTTGTAATTAAACTCTAGTCCATTCTCCTTAGTTCAAGTGATGTCATGAAATAGAATTATAGCGAAAGTTGCTGTGGCAAGATATTTCTCAGATATGTTGAGCTGATTACAGTGGTTTAGCATGATGATAATATATATGCAGTGGATGTGTGCCCTCTGCATCCGATTTCGAAGAACATTCTTTTGAGTAAGAGCACATCCCGTTTTACTCACCATATGTAACTTGCATTTTCTTCAGGATTTATTCTGCGCTCTTCATATCTGTTCCTCTGCAGCTCCTTTGCATGTACGAATCAACCTGTCCAATGATGCTGTTACAAAGTGCAGTGATTTAAGCAGTTAACACGACCTAGCAGTGATATTTTTAGAGCTATAATACCTTGCTCGTTAAAAAAGGATATGGCACCTAACTACCTATTTTAGGGAGTTGTCAAAGTCTTTCAACTGCTCGTTTCTTACTCTAAAGAGCCGTTGATCGGTCATCCTATGGCTCTCCTTTCAAGGGTTCGCCGACTTGATTTCCTCTTGTCCATCGATCCTTTTTTTAACAAAGAAGAGGCACTCAAGGCGCCAAGTTCATTTCTAATCAAGCTCAAGTACATCATACAACAAAGATTACAACTCCTGGGCAATTAAGCAATAACAGATGTTGCAAGAAAGACAACTAAATGGCCTATGAGCTTGACCGAAACATCTAAAGACAAGTTCCACATTGGAAGTAAGGACCTGATGAGCACCATAGCAGGCTAGACCTAAAATAACCGAAGAAATCTGCACTATGTAGCTGAAGAAATGAGCAAGATGCTGCCTGATGAGCCATCTAGATCAGAAGCCGTGATGCTGTGTCAAATTGTCCATGTAAAACATGACTTTCTACAAATTAAAACTTCCTGTAAATTAAGCTGATTCACATCAGCCACAACAAGCTGGAGAGCTCCAGTTTCATTGAGAATAGGGGAAGGGTCCTGCTGTATGTAGACTTATATCATGAAGCGGCTTGTCGATGCGCCGTTCACCAAAAGATCAAAAGCTTCCAGTCATGTATGATGCAAGTCTAATCTTCCTATGGTCTTATAGGAATGAGAGTAAATCCAAGGACATGCAATTTGAGCTCAATAGCATCTTGCAACATGAAGAACAAAACCCTGAAAATTAAAATCAGAGAGAAGAGAAACTATAGGGCAGGACAAATTCCTACGAGATGGAGCAAAGCAACAAATGTCAGGTTCTGTAGACCGTCGATCCTTCATCGGATGGCCTGGAGAAGCTCCCGCGTCGTTGTTTACTATCCGACACTTTCATTCTTTCAATTTGCTTTTCACCTGCTCGACTGTAATGGCTATTGAAAGTGCAACTAATCGCCGGGTGGTCTTGCTGATTCATAACAACATATACATCATTGAACTAATGTATACTCAAAGAATATTTCAGGAAAGTTCAATTAGGTATGGCAATGGGATGTGAATGTGAACTCCTCGAAATGAAAAGGACAAACATTGGCAAAGCTTCAAGACTCTACATTTTTTGTTAAATGACCGAGGTTTTGATCATGGACTAAGTGCTCAAGTGCTTAGAGATATTGCTCCAAAATCCTCAGCCACACTATCACATTCAACTATGTCCTAAACCCTAAAGTCAAACTCAGTCCCACCAAAACACACCTACCCGGATCCACCGAGTTACACTTGACATAGTCACTGCCTAAACCCTAGCAACTCAGTCTCACTGAGATGACCATTCAACCTCACCGAAGAGCACTTGCCAACCTTATGTCGCCTATTTCTATTCGTGAGCTGCGTTGGGATTTTCCCGGAAGAGGAAGGGTGAAGCAATATAGTAGCTGATAAGTATTTCCCTCAGTGAAAACCAAGGTTATCAAACCAATAGGAGAATCACGCAAGTCCTAGTGAACAACGCGAACACACACAAAAGCAAATACTTGCACCCAATGTGGGCAAGAGGGTTGTCAATCCCGTTGAACTCGTTACTTGCAAGGATTAATTCTGATAGTGATCGATAGATAAAAATAAAAGTAAATAAATTACAACAATGTATTTTTGTTTTTAGCCATATGATTAAAGTAGACCCAGTGCCATAGTTTTCACTAGAGCCTTCTGTCTCAAAACAATAGCATACCGTGGGCAGACAAATTATTGTTGGGAAATTGATAGAAAACACATAGTTATGACGTTATTCATGGCAATGATCATGTAGGCATCACGTCTGTGACAAGTAGACTGAAACGACTCTACATCTACTACTATATTACTCCACGTCGAGAGCGCTTCTACGGCCTCCCTACGTGTTAAGTTCATAACAAACAGAGTAATGCATGAAGTATGATGACATGATGTAGACAAAGTAAACTCAAGCAATATGAATAAACCCCATTGTTTTTCCCTTAATGGAAACAATACAAATACGTGCCTCGCTACCCTTTCCGCCACTGGGTGAGGACACCGCAAGATTGAACCAATCACAAAGCACCTCTCCTACTGAAGATAAATCAATCTAGTTGGCCAAACCAAATGGATAGATCAGAGAGAAATACAAAGTTATAATAATCATGCATAATACAGTTCAAAAAAGAGTCAACTACTTTCAATAAATAATCTGATCATAAACCCACAATTCATCGGATCCCAACGCAAAAGAAGATTATATCGGATAGAACTCCAAGAAGATCGACGAGAACATGGTATTGAAGATCAAATAGAGAGAAGAAGTCATCTAGCTACTAGCTATGGATCCATAGGTCTGTGGTGAACTACTCACGCATCATCGGAAGACAACAAGGATGATGTAGAAGCCCTCCATGATCGATTCCCCCTCCGGTAGAGTAGCGGGAAAGGCCTCCTGATGGGATCACGGAAGAACAGAAGGTTGCGGCGGCGGAAAAAGTGTTTCGGGTGGCTCTGTGTTGGTTTGGGAATATTTGGGAATTTATAGAGGTGGAATTAGGTCAAACGGAGCTGTGTGGGACCCATGAGCTTAGGAGGGCGTGCCAGGTGAGCTCGTCGCTCTCCCGTACATCTTTTGACCTCCTCCCGAACATTCTAGTGCCCCTTCTAGTCCGGAAAAAATCACCGTAAAGTTTCATCGTGTTTGGTCTTCATTTGGTATTGATTTTCTAAAAAGCTAAAAACAAGTAAAAAAACAATAACTGACACTGAGTACTAAGTTAATAGGTTAGTACCGAAAAATGATAAAAATAATAACATAATAAAGCATATAAAGCATCCAAGATTGATGATATAATAGCATGAAACAATAAAACATTATAGGTATGTTGGAGACGTATCACCTATCGGTTTCATCTCAGAATTTTCGAGTAGTTTCAATTGGTCTCACTGAAGTGTGGAAAGTGATTAGGTCATCACTCATCAGTCTCACCGAGCTGTTCCATCCGTCTCATCGAAAAGCCTAAAGTTCAAACCTTTTGTACTAATTGGTCTCACCGAGTGTTTACATCAGGTCCCACCGGGTAGTGCATAAAGGTTTGTAACAGTTAGATTTTTTGTGCTACCTATATATGCCCCCACCCATTCCACGAACTAAGGTGTCGTGGACTAAGGGGTGCTAACTTGTACAACCAGTCATCTATGGGCCGGCCTAATGGCCCACCGATCACTTGAGAAGGGATTATCGAAGCCGTGGCCCTTGGCGTGAGCAAGATGGAAACTTCCAAAGACTAGGCGTGCACCTCAAGGAGAGTTCTAGTAGCCAGCATGTTTATTCCGACTTGGCAACCGATCATATCTGTAACCTAGGTATTCCCGGTGCCTATATAAGCTGAGGGGTTAGTCTTTGGAGGCACGAACATAAGCCTTAGGGTTTAGAACACAATCATCCCATCTCGAGGTAGATCATCCTATATTCTGTGCACCATCGGATCAATACAATCCAAGCGGGACGTAGGGTTTTACCTCTTTGAGAGGGTCCGAACCTGGGTAAAACATTGTCTCCCTCGTCTACTTTTACCATTGCTCCTAGAATCACAGCTCGGGAACCCCTATCCGAGATCCACCAATTTTTGCACCGGCATTGGTAGCCCATACAGGTCCAACTGTTTGGTCGCAAAGAATCAATGCTCATCTTTAGATCAACGATAACATCGGCTGCGGGGACCTGGCCAGTTTTTCATGTTTGGCAGCATTGTCATGCATGCTGATTCGACCGGTCACCTCAGCCGAGTCAAAAGTTTCGCCACAGGTCAAATAATTAGATTTGGGAGCTTGGAATACACTGCCGATTCCAGCGATGATCTTGCTTTTTCAAGTTGGGTGTCAAATCAGCTTGGGCCCTCCACGGATACCGTGGTCTTAACCCCGGATCCAACCATGGACCCAGACCTCGGATCAGGTCTCGCAACCGAATCAACTCTGAGTCCAAATCCGGTCACCCAGTTGCTGGCCCAGGAGTCAACCCTGGCCGACCCGCGCTCCGAGGATGAGTCATAGGGCCCGCCGAGCATACTACGGGTTAGCCTCGCCTATTGCTAGGAGATCGTCCTGGCAGACCTCTCACTGTTGAACGAGATGCTACATCAAATCCAGAACCTTGGGATTTTGGACGGGCAATCCTCGGTCCATGATCAAATCCTATGTAAAGCCTATGATAGGGAAACTTACATCCCACCCACTACCCACCTAGTCTCTATGG